AATAAAGAATCACCCAGGTTTTTTTTTATTTTTTTTTATTTTTTGGTTTTTGTTTTTGCTTTTTTTCTCATGTGGACTACTGAATGTAACGTGTGCAGTTTATTCTTTTCGAATTGCTCCCGGCACCCCTTTCCTTGGACTTGAAAACAATGTTGTAAATTTTCCCGTCCCTAGGGGTAGAGAATCCAGCTTAAGTCACTTAAACCCTTGTATTCCCCGGCATATTCCCCTGGTTAGCCCGAAGTCCTACCTCTGGGGCAGGCCGATAATAAATTTTGCATCAACCTTTTTATTTTCCTGCGATATCATGAGTTAAGATTTACAGGACACTTCCTAAGAGATCTAAGTGTTAAATTAACACGGGTAGACCATGAAAAAGCGCGAAAAAGGACACTTGAGAACACCGAGTCATTTCAAGACCCGACAACAGGTGACTGTTGAAACCGGAGAGGAAAGTCCTCCAGGAACCACTTGAGCAAACTAAGCATCAGATTTTCCTGTTTTAAAATTTTAATGTGCCATTGAAAATAACAGGAACATATTTCAAATGTGTCCCATCGCTTATGTCTTATTGAGCGATTTGATGTGGATGTTTTGGTGATATTGACAGTTATGTTCCTTTTGCACGCAGTTCATTCGCTCACTATTTTTTTCTAAAAACAGAAAAACTATGTTAATGCAGTTGGGTTTCTCAAGTATGAAATGGCACTGTGGAACATGAAGCTTAATTGATAGGTGTCAAAATACCATTCATAGTCCATTAAATGTGTATTCTTAGTTATTTGTTTTTGAAAGAATAAGGTTTGGACAATCGAAGCGTCGGTCCAAAGAAAAATAAAAATCAAACAAACAATTCGCGTCTTTAGCTTGGACCAAGCCTCAGCTACGAACTGGAACTTTGTCTCAAGCTTCGAAATGAATTTATAAACATTAGTTATGCAACTGATGCGCGCCTTGAATTTGATAAATCATTCAATCGTAAGACAGGATGACCTCAGTCACAGTTTTGAATTGCGAATTTTTGACAGAAGTGTTGCAAAAACAATAAGTATACCACACCGGTGCCGTGTTGTTACGGGAAAAAGAACGCCTCTAGCTGTCGCTCTATAGACAAGGTAAAGTTTTCTTTTTTAAACTATTTTATATCAGTTTCAGGGAGATGGACAATGAAATTTACTAAGCATACGCCCTTAGACTAAGATAGAGAGTAGCTTCTCAGACAAAGTAAACAATTCGGAGGTTTTGTTCTGAAATATAAGCAACAATGCACAAGACGATTCTTGAGCGAGAAAATCGATGGTATACTGTCGATAAATTTTAGTGCCTGCCTGACTTTCCGGAAGCAATTTACTTCAAATAGCATTCAAGCAACGAAAAGTTTAAGAAACATCCTATCATGTTCTACTTTTTCAACACTTGTCTGCGATCATGCCAATTCTCTATTATTTCAGTATGTCGTTTACGGGAAGAAGCCTCAGTTACATATTTTCCCTCTCACTTCCTAAAAATCAACGCCTGATAGCAGGTTACTCTGGCATGGGTTCTCGTAAGCACGCTCAGAGCTTAAGGGGATTTACTTTATGGCATTGAATTACATTCACTAAAATTGAGTTCTTGGTTAACGGTTTTAATCTTACAAGTTTCTTTAAAATTAAGTACCTCAGTTACAAATGGCATTGCTCTGCACAGAGTATACGAATCTTCTATTGCGTTGGATTGACAACAACCAATTCTTTTGATATAACCAGTTCAATGAAGGGAGAATTCTTCAACAGGTTATAAAAGGTATCGGGTCTACCCGTTTAAAAGATGGATTCTTATTCCGGATCAATAAAATATTTTCAATATAGCTGTATGTGACATAAGACGGTCAAATTATTTCTTCTCTTTAAAACCTTTTTGCATCGGGGACGAGGGCGGCAGGGAGTTTGTTCGAATCAATGAGTAAGGTTGACCAAGAGAGGGGGTATAGAATGGTACCTCGAAAAACGTGGGTTTCGGACAATTTTGGCACGATCTCGAAATCTCGGAAGTGTTTTTGATAGGTCTCGAAGTCTCGTTTCCGGCTGGGTTGTTTAATACGTCTCGGAGTTTCGAATTTTTTTTGCCGACAGGTTTCTGATCAAGTCTCAGATTTGCCTTTTTATCTTCAGCGTTTTGTCTTAAGAGGTCGATTTTTTTTTAGAGTTCATGGGTACACTCCCACAACCGTGTAAACTTTATTGAACAAGACAGTAAAACAAGATAAAGCAGTACAATGGTGGGCTTTTGCAAGCTTCTATCGGCATTGGCGCTTTTAATTCACTTATTTTATGATGCTTTATTTGTAACATTATCTCGAATTCGAAATTTTCGGCGATTAGAGTCTCGGGCTCGACTTTTGAAACCAAGGTCTCGCAATCTTGCAAAGTTTAGAATCTACCATTCAACAACCCTAAGAAGTCATAATTGCACCAGACTACATCACGGCTATGGCGCATTCAAAGGTTAGAGCCGGTTGCACGAAGAAGTGGTTATCAGCATTAGTTAGAGCGAACAAACTTATTGTAAATTTAATAGTAATGATAAAAACACACAGACTCAGAACAAAGATTTTTGGGAGCGAAATATTTGGACTTTGCTCGACTGTTTCTCAGTCATATTTGTTCTGAATCCGTATCAGTTCTATCTATATCTATCAGTTATGTTTCCCGCCGAGTAGATTGTTGCAAGTATCTTCTTCCATTTAGGAATACAAAGTCCCAAGTGATAGAAAGTATCTACAAACGAACAGGAAACAGGTTAGTTTCCGATGATCTTACCACGAGTAACAGTACACAGAAAGTACTAGGGAAGAGAGGGAGAGTAGATAATCGTGGGCGTGAGAACTGACCTGCCACACGGGCGGCTCTGTACCGGTTCTCGGGTGTTGACGATTTGACAGAACGCCGGTATCTTACTTTTAGACACGAACAGCTCGATTCCTAAGGAATGAAACACGAAACTTAGCATCCCGAGATAGCATAAACGCTGCCAAAAATGGGTAGTTGTGTCTTTCCCCTTGCATCCCTATAGGAAATCACTTGTGCTGACTTGCCTGGTTCACTCCGAAACAAATAAAGAAAACTAGAACTAGAGGAAAACGGATTTGAGCACAGGCTCATTCTCTATTTACTAACTTTCGATAATTAACTCTTTTTGCCTACCCTCTCCTCCCCCCCCCCCCAAAAAAAAAAAAAAAAAAAAATAAAGCGTTTTTTGAAAACAATGGCTTTTTCAAAAGTTGGGGGCAAACAGAGTATATTATCGGGGATACAAAAATAGTCAATAACCGCTTTTTTTTGGAAAAAAACACTAGGCATTTTCAGGGTTAAATACATGATCTGGCCCAATAAGGGTGAAGGAATGGAAAACGATAACTAAAATAAAAGACATCGATCAATTTGGAACGAAAATTTTAGGCCACGAGGAGGAGTCGGGGAAATAGCACGTCTTACTCTGCTGCTTAATAGGGACGATCAGGAATGAGTAAAACATCATCGCATTAATCATATAACTGATGGTAACGGGTAGAGGGGATAGGACCTAAATTTATTACTTCCTCGCCAAAACGATGGTATTCTGACCAATAACAAAAGCAAGGAAACGTAAAAAAAATCCTGCTTGCAAAAAAATATTTTGTTTTTACTCGGGTTGATGATCAGTTGGTGACAGAAGGTTTATGTTATGCACGCGACCGTACGAAGTGTCGTTCTCAGTGCTAAAATAACCCACATGTATGTTGACGATAACTTTCTCAATTTCACCTCCAAATCTCGCTTGCGGACAAGATTCTTTGTATTTCTTACAGTTTGTGCTTAAGTATTCTTCTCAATTTAGCAAACGTTTATAAGTTTTCAATTCCAAAGGGAGGTTTGATTGTTAAATTTGTGGCTTGATGTAAACATGAATCTTGGTTATTAGCTTGACTAGATGGCAACAGGTTTATATTGTTTTTCTTTATTCGAATGAATCAGACAATTTTTAACACGAATGAATGTGAAGGCCTGGTAACTAGTGCAATGTTGTTCCAAAATGAACTGCAACATTAATTCAGTCATGACTTGTATAAAGGGATTAGCCCCACCATCCTCGTGTAATAAGTTTTCGACAAGAACTCAGGTGCATACTAGAAATACTAGGAATAAAGATAAACTTCATATACCATCTTTTAGATCAGCAACAGGTCAGCGATCTTTCTCATATAGGGCTGTTCAGCTCTCGAATGCCCTTCCAGAAAGTTTAGCAAACATAGAGTCATTTAATGTTTTTAAGAATGCGATTAAAGGACGTGCACTTGACGAATTTTTAAGCCATTGACACTCAATAGGTGTAATTATGCATATTTTATATTTTTAAATAATATGGTAATGTTTTATCACTCTCAAATGTTTATTTTAGATTTCTATTGTTCATATTAGATTTTATTGTAATTGGTATGTGAAAACTCATTATAATTGGATGTACCAATAAAGTTGATTGATTGATTGACTTGATCTATCAACCCACAGAGAGCGCTGTGGGTGGTACTTGTAAAGCTGATCCAAGTTTTTTCTCTTTATCTCTCTTTTTCAAAGGCGTCACTAATATATCAAGATGAAGAAGTTCCTTTTGCTGTCGGCCATATTATTGGGTAACGTAAGACTCTGTTGAGATTCTTTAGCTCTTAACGTGAGGCAACTCACTGGCTTAAAGTAATATTCATGTTGTCCAATAGGCTCCATATTTGAAAAATGTTATTTGATTTGTTGCAGTTTAATTTTAAACGAGTGTTCATATGTTTTTTCAAGCTCCCCGTAGAAGAACTCTTTTGGAACCGAAATATCGGACAAATGTACGCCATGCGTTTACCACCATGAATAATGATGATAATTATCATCATCATCATCATTATCATCATCAGTAATGATTATGACATTCCAATAATATTAATAACAAAACTATTAATGTGAATGTTATTCTTTTAAGTCATAACAGCGCTAGTCTCACCAAAAAGTACTAAGAAACACACAAGCAGTAAAACGAGATTGCACCGTCACCATGATGAGGGACATCGTCGACAAGGAGCAGTAGCCCCGGCACCCACGGCCGCAGCAGCAGCACCTGCACCTGCTGCTACTACAGTCCCACCAGCACCCGGGGCCCCCACAGTACCACCAGCACCAGGTGCTTCCGCAGCACCACCAGCACCCGGAGCTACCACAGTCCCACCAGTACCCGGGGCCCCCACAGTACCACCAGCACCAGGTGCTTCCGCAGCACCACCAGCACCGGGTGCTACCACAGTACCACCAGCACCAGGTGCTACCGCAGTACCAGTACCCGGTGCAGCCAAAGTACCACCAGCACCAGTTCCTGGCGCTACCACTGTACCACCAGCACCAGGTGCTACCGCAGTACCACCAGCACCCGGTGCAACCACAGTGCCACCAGCACCAGGTGCTACTGCAGTACCACCAGCACCAGGTGCTACTGCAGTACCACCAGCACCCGGTGCAACCACAGTACCACCAGCACCAGGTGCCACTGCAGTACAACCAGCACCCGGTGCAACCAAAGTACCGCCAGCACCAGTTCCTGGACCTACCACTGCACCACCAGCACCAGGTGCTACCGCAGTACCACCAGCACCAGGTGCAACCACAGTACCGCCAGCACCAGGTGCAACCAAAGTACCACCAGCGCCAGTTCCTGGCGCTACCACTGTACCACCAGCACCAGGTGCTACTGCAGTACCACCAGCACCCGGTGCAACCACAGTGCCACCAGCACCCGTTCCTGGCGCTACCACTGTACCACCAGTACCAGGTGCTACCACAGTACCACCACAAGCACCAGTTCCTGGCGCTACCACTGCACCACCAGCACCCGGCGCTACCACAGTGCCGCCAGCTGCCGGCGTTAGCAAAGTCGCACCAGTTCCTGGCGCTAGCACTATACCACCAGCACCGGGGGCTACCACAGCACCACCAGCACCAGGTGCTTCCACAGCAGCACCAGCACCTGGGGCTACTGCAGTTCCACCAGCACCTGGCGCTACCACAGTACCACCAGTACCCGGTGCTTCCACAGCAGCACCAGCACCTGGGGCTAGTGCAGTACCACCCGCACCCGGTGTTACCACAGTAGCACCAGCTCCAGGGGCAACTCCTACGGCCAAAGTGCCCTCGGGTGAGTAATTATTGTAGGTTCTATTATTGTTTTGTACTTCGGTAATGTAAGTTAGGCCGTCAAATTTAAGAGGAAAAGAAAAGTTTCACGAAAGATAACAAAGTAAATTGTAGATAACGACTAAAGTGTCTTAGCCTCCGTGCAAGTTCCCGGAGGACCATCCCCGGAGCACTCCAGAGAGCTTGCTTACAGGCTTGAAGTATCTTAGGCTGTGTTCACACGATACGGGCCGGGATCGATAGCTCTCATCCAAACAGGAAAAGCTGTCCGGTATGGTATGAACACCTATCCGACATGTGACTCTCCTCTTTAGATATCGACTTCGCTTCGTTACAGAAATCGGGCCGAAATCACTGTTCTAATGTGTGTGACATGTGTGAACAGAATCCCCATCCTATGCGACTTAATTTTCGCACCGGCGCAAATGCTATCCGGTATAGGGTTATCAAAGCCTTAGGCCTCGGCCAAACGTCAAACTTTTCATGAGACGGGCCAAAATTTTTGATTTAACTTCATGAAAAGTTCGACGTCTGGCCAAGTTAAGTTCGTCTCAAGAATCTTGGATCGTCCAACACGTTCTATCCGTCTGCTTCAGACGAATTATAGAACGTCTGAAGATTGTCCCAGAGACAAACGTCGATCTTCACACGCGACCAACTAAACTAATAATTTAAAATTTGGATGATGATGTATATTAAGCGTCTTTGGACCGCTAAAATTCCTTTTGGTCTGATTTAGTTGATTGGTTCGACGAGTCTCAAGTTTGACGTCTCACCCAACAGACGATCTTAACTTAATTTATGTCGACCCAAATTAGAGTTTGGTTCGTCACATGAAGAATTCGACGTTTATTCTAGGGCTTAGACTTTTGAATTGGTTTCTTTCGTAATTTGAGTTTATTGCTACTTTGGTTATCTATTGAAAGAGCACAAGTTGTTTTTTCCTAAGACGTTCTTAATAGCTTTAAAAAAAATGTATACTTTAAGTGGTCAAATGTTGACCCTTGAAGCTTTTTAACATCACTTAGTTGATCTGAGAACACTTTTGTGAACATTTCCTGTGCTTTTTTCCCACCACAGTTCCCGTTGCCGGTTATAAGAGCCCGACGAAAAATGCATTATTCAAGCCTAACGATGAAGGAACAAAAGTTAAATCCACAGAAAAGGACGAGGATTTATCAGGAGAAAGGGAGATTAGTGATGCCTCAGCCGAGAGTGGGCAGGAGGACGATGCATCTGCCGAGGAGGAAGACAGAGAGAAAGATAATTTTGCTGAAGTCGAGGAAGAGACTGACAGCTCTGCTGATGATAAATCAGGGCGGTGGAAAACTATAAGAAACTTAATCCGAAAACACGAAACACCAACGGCAACAATCTTAAAAGGAAAGTCATCAGAAATCTGAAGAATGGGAAGCGTTGTTCATGAATTCAAAAGAACTTAGGATACTAACACAAATTTTGTCTTTTGCATATTGCATAGCCTGAACATGTTAACTTACCTTTGACAATAAACAAAGTTTTAACAGAATTTACGCTTTGTTTTGAAGGATTCACTTGTGTGGTTTCTTACAATAACTTGAAAGAGGTAAAAGAAAAGGCCCTGAATCTTTCATAAAGAGTGCGACTTAACTCAGTACCGTGTTTAAAATTTAGTTGTTATGAATTTTGAACGTTTTATAAGTAAACATTATTGTGCAATGACCATTACTTTCAACAGCATCATAACTTTGTTCTTCTTTGTATAATAGTGCACCATAATCCAAAACGCCATTTTCGAGTTATTCCAAACCTCCTTTTAACTTTAAATAGACAGGGATAAGTGCGGAAGCCTTTGATTCTCACTTAAATATGTTCACTTGATAGGTTTTGCATTTAGCCTTAGTGTGTCAATCGAGTGTGCGAGTAAAAGTTTGTCATGCAATTTAGCTTAAAAAATCCAATGGACTAATCAGCAAATACAAAGAAATTACAGGCGGCTGTGTTAAGAGCGGGAAAGAGCCGCGAAAAAAAAAGAATTACCGGTAGCGACTGCAAATCATTATTCCTCGTGAAGCGAGTCCCGAAGCCTTGCGAAGCAGAGGTTTATAACTTTGTTACACTCGTAGCGCGCAGATCGTGCGTGGATCATACCACATTGCATACTTGGGTGGCCCATATTGGTGGACTCATAGTCAGTACTATTTGCCCATGGGTGTGGGCTGATGAAAAGAGCGACAACTACACATTACGCGTCCACTTTTACGAGACTACAGTATTTTTTCCTTATAGCTTGTAAGGATTTGACCTTAATGTTGAGTCCGTGGACGTTAAAAGAACAAGCAAGGAAATACTAAAGTTAGATACATTATGCTCAAAAAATTGAGTATAATGCTTTTGAGCGTCACGCTCAAAACAACAGCATTATGCCTAAAATTATGCTCGAAAAGTAGCACTATGCTAGGCTGATCTTGCAGGTTATATTTGATGCCCTTGTCCATTCCTGCAGTCAAAAACAATTACCTCCGTAATTGAGAAAAACGGCATTTTTTTGCATCATTTTCTGACAGCTATGATGGATAGAAAACTGGCAAGCCTTGGCAGTCTGCGAAATAATGCAACACGCAACCAGGGCTTGAAGGTAGCAACCAAGCCATTGAATATGTTAAGTCCCTACTATACGCACTTGAACGCGAATATTTCTCATTACGGTTATGGAAATACTAATTTATTATTATTATTATTATTATTATTTATTTATGTTATTATTATTATTAATATTATAATATAAGATATACTAGTGTAATTGCGATTGATTTTCTGTCTCAACATCCGAGTCCAAACCGTGGACTTAAGGAGGCAAAGAGCGTTTCTTCTTGATGGAGAGGACCCACCTCAGAAGGTGGGCTGTAGAAAGGAGAGTTATTTTCTGGAGTTCATGTATGTTGATGTTGCCACGGATTTTGTAGGAGCAGTTTCCCATGTACTTCTTGATGGTGCCAAGGGCTCCCATAACCACTGGGACTGTTGTTGTTTTGAGCCCCCACATTCGCTCAACCTCCATTTCCAGGTCTTTGTATTTGGTAAACTTTTGCGTGGCTTTGACTGAGGTGTTGGTGTCGAGGGATACAGTCATATCTATGAGAAGGCAGATTTTATCCTTCTTGTCCAGGTGACAGTCTTGGGTTCATGCTCATACCATCGTTCCTTCACCTCAATGCCAAACTCTTTGCAGATTGCCCAGTGCATGTGTGCAGCTGCCTTGTTGTGGCGGTGGATGTATTCAGTTTTAACCAGTTCAGGGCACACAGAGACCAGGTGGTCAATGGTCTAGTCGAAACGGCCACACAGTCTACATTTTGGGTCCATGTCAGGCTTCTTGAGGATGTTGTATTTGTACCAGCGTGTTGGGAGTCTTTGATCCTGGGCTACGATGATAAAGCCCTTGGTTTCTACCTTGAGGCCAGCTTCTTTAGCTATCTTTGGGTCTTGTCTTGGTCCACGTCAGCCTGTTTCACCCGTTGTGGGTATTTGCCTTAGTGCGCTTTTGATTCCCACTTTGGACCTGAGCTGTTGGCGACCCTGGTGTTTGGCCTTCGCCTTTGTTCTGCGGGCATAGGTGGTGTTCGCCTCATCCTCTGCAGCACTCTCAGTTCCCGACTGAACTTCACTGACTGCCTGTTGATGGAGTGCAAGGATTTCCTGTCGTCAGGGTCTTCGACAAAGTGGAGGAGAGTGTCCTGCGTCTCCTGGAGGTATTTATCAAGACTGATAGTGGGCGACTTGTAGGAAAGCTCCAGTTGTATGAGCCCTCTAGCTCCTTCAGTATGGGCAGGTACAACCTGTCGACGTCTGATTTGAGGTGGTGCATCTTGTACATGGCCAGGAACTTTATAGTTTTTGTATCAAGTTTGGCTAGCTCTTGTAACGTCCAGTTTATGATGTTAAGACAGCAAGTTACCACTGGTACTGCCAAGGTGTTGATGGCTTCCAGTTTGTTTGCGGAGTTCGGCTCAGTCTTGAGACTTATTATTATTATCATTCTCTTTATGGTGAAAAAATGTCCATTCGGCCGGCATTATGTTCGAAGCTCCGACTACATCATTATGCCCAAAATTGTGCAGGCATAATGTATGTAACCCTTGCAAGCAAGCCATCTACATCAGACGCCGGCGTCCAATCTTCAATATTGATGGGGGCATGAACTATCCGCGATTTCTAATCAATTTTCGTCACTCGTTGCAAAAGTCATTTGACAGCACTGAAAAGAGTCATTCGCCATTTGCACATCTTCATAATGCATCTTGTTTGCCTCACAAAATTTTGCGTAAGCGTTATCTTCAATTTATGGCTTAGGACAACTGCAATACCCAGGAGAAATAAAAACAAAGGGCAAGCCAAATAAATTTGGGGAGGGAGGCAAGCAAGATGTACTATACGAGATATGCAGATAATTCTTTGGGTAAGGACTGTGAGATGCATTATTATTGTGGGATCATGATGCCAGAGTTATTATAAAAGTGTAATGTACAGGTTAAACAAGTATTTTAGAGTTTGGAAACAATAACGAGACTTTTTTTCCTTGTAAAAGTTTAATTCATAGACAACACGATTGATGGCTCTCATTCCTTCTCGCTCCGTTTGGTGTCAAGTGGTAAGATTTAAAACAGGTTCGACTGACCTTTTTATTGCTGGAGCGTGAGACCTAAATATTGAAGGTACTTGTAAAGATATGTTGCACTTCTATACTACCTGTCTAGCTACATGAAAATTAAGAAGGTAGACAGAAATTCTTGCTCCAAATAGAACCAGAACACAGTCACAAATCCTTTCAAATAATTTGTTTCACCTCAGCATCCCCCTATGAGCAAGAAGTCCGAAATAATTAGCGGCAAGGCAGAAAAGTATCACTGACGATAAACGGGCTCTCGTCTTTAGGGACACGCCCACACGTTCGAGACATTTTTACAAAACTGGACACCAAAGCCTTCATGAATAACAATAACCAAAGATACTTGCCACTGGCTTTAAGTTATTGGTTAGTAATGTAGGACCTGCTAGCTCATAAACTGGACCTACCAAGGAGTACATTCGATCACTTATGACCTACACTGGTGAAGGAATAGCGCATCAAAATTGTGGAACAGTTTACCAGATGCGACAAGGAAGGTTGACACTTATAAAACTTTTAAACAAAATTAAATCCTCTCTAGTAGATTTTTTAGCATTATCCAAACTAAAATTTTCATGTTTTAGCATTATTTCATTTTTTTTGGCATTTTTCAAATTTTTCAGGGGAGAGGAAATTCACGACTTTAAAATTTTGATCGATGGTTTGGCCTATCTTAAAACTAGTTTTGTAGCTGAGATTACTGATCATTTAAGTCTGAAGTCCGACATTGCGAATTTTCAACCATGAGACTTTCCTTGTGTTCAGATTGTAATCTGACAGAGGAGGTCAAACGGATCACCAATCACCAGTTTCCGACGGTAGAAAAATTCTGGTGAAGAACTGATTTACTCTGATGTGAAGATAAAAACCTTTTCAAAAGCTTTGCCTAAAGTATTTAGCGATACACAAAATCAGGAACTTGACATCGAACCTGTATATTTAAGGTTAATTACGAAAACAGAAACAAGGAAATATATTTTCTCCTTGATTCTGAAGGCGATTACGAGTGCTTCATATAAATATCTGTATTGTAGTGTTTGTAACTTAGGTAATCTGTTTTCAACTGTTCTTTTGTTATCAGATTTTACAGCCCTACAGAAAGACTTTAAAACGAACATGAGGAACTTGTATCTGATTTTCGTCGTTTTGTCTTCGTTCTTAGTTTGGGGAGGTGAGTTGTAATCTTTGGTTCATGTGTTTAAAAATTGATTAACCTTAGAATCTAAATACAATGGTAACAGATTACTTCTTAACACTTAAAGAACAAAGGATATTCATCGAGTTTAAAGTGCAGTTAAACTGAGAAAATAATTAGTAACAAAAGCCCTACTGTGTATTCGTTATTTTAAAATCGCTTACAGTGATTATTTACAAATGCATAAGTTAGCGTTTATTACGTTGATTAATGGTGTGGGTGAATAGATTTGGAAATAGATGTAATGAAGACTTCATTCTGTTAATTGTCGAGTAAATGGAGCTATCAAGTTCTAAAGATAACAAAATCGCGGAGATCGAAATGATCTCTATGCTCTCTACTAAATGTGGTAGTGAAAATTTCGAATTCAGTCAGATTTATGGTGTGGTTTGGTACTGCAAGTTCCGCTCTGAGGTAGTCGCTGAGTGACATGGTTTTGTTTTAAATTGGTTGTAGAGATTAATAAAATAGCTTGTTCCACAGAGCTGCGTGCAATTCAGATCAACCAAACTATTGCTTAGAGAATGGTTTGAACATAGTTGTCTTGTCACAGGCGGGTAAGGTGGAATATGGTCGCCGGGGAGAGTGTAGTCCTGGATCGGACAGTTGTTAATACAGCCTTTGTATCCGGTGGTATCGTTCGAGGGACTGGGAAAGTTCTGCAAAGAGCTGCGAAGCCGTGATGAAAATGAGGAGGAGATGCTTCAAATTTTCTGGCCCTTTCACCGCCAGAAATGCGCTCTCACACGCGCAAAAAAAACCGCCAGCAATACAGGCTATTGTTACAACTGTAACAGTGACTGATGTAAGGCAACTGCTGTGGATACCTTAATTGCAGAGGTATCATGTTATAGCTTCTAGATTTTAATTAAGCCAAAGTGTAATTTAATAAATGAAAGTTTATAGCGACTTTCCGTGGTGATGTTATTTTAAATTTTGTATTTTCAATTCATTGAGAATTTTTTTGGTTATTTTTCCTTTGCTTTTAGAATGCCGAGCAGTGTCAAGAGGTAATAACAGTCACGCTAATGAGTTATTTCTAAGTGATTTAATAGAACTAAAGTAATAGTTAAAACAAAACTTGTCAAGAACATAAGAGGTTAGCATGAAAATGCTGGGAAAAAGAGTGATTCAACTGTGTCTGCATTCCATATTGATCTTACACAGGAACTCATTGATTACAAGTAAAAGTAAAAAGCGAGACTTTGAAATTAGTTCTTTTTAAGGGGGGAATGTCTCTTAAGTTTGAATATTTACCTCGTCTTTATGAACAAAGTCATTGGAAAAAGGATACCACAGCTGTATTATTGAAAGATGAAAATTTTTTGTGAGCCATGTTTTATTGACATCAGAGTGGCCATGGCAACGTTATAACGCCCATTACGTTTTTAATGAAAATTGCTCTTCTATTAGGTTATGATAAGCTTAGCTGGCAAAGCGCCCACTTGCCCAAGACACAGAAAGCCAATACTGCCTCTAATAACCGGTCTTGGCCAACTTGTCTTATCCCCAGTGCCCACTCCACACCTCGCTATTTTCTTGGCCTCCAAAGACATGCGGGACATAAGTATTCTCTCTTCTTAAAGCCGATCTCTTTAATAGCGGTTAAGAATATAACTGGGCTGAATTTCAAAAACCTTCGGTACTTATTAGAGGGAAAACAAATCGTTGTCGTAATTTCTATTTGTATTGCTTTTGCGCTCTTTTCTGTCGGTGTCAGCGTTTCAACCCATCTTTGTATCCGTTGTCGCCATTGATTATCTGTCTAAGTCGAGTTTGGTTTTGTCTGTTTTTTCTTTGGTTGTTTGTTTGTTGGTTTTTGTTGGTTTTTTTTTCTCCACCCTTCACTTCAGTTTTTCAACAAAATGAAAAACTGTTCTACCTGCATGTCTACATAGAATGTCGTGACAATTTTCACAACTGTGAGACATGGAGGAGGTCTGGGCTTTGTCATGGCACTGCGCATGCGTTTTACCTCCGGAATGGCTGCGCAAAAACCTGTGGGTTTTGCAAAAGTAAGTGATATTAACGCATATTAGGGTAATAATGTATGTGTCTTAGGTCATAGATAACAGTAATAACACAGTCACGTGAAGTCTAGTGATCATTTAGGAGTAGATCTCAGAGTATTGTGCCCTTAGTATTCTTGCCCAGACGCCAGGCCACATCATTCCGCACGACCTATTAATTTTGGGTCACGTGACCGTTCGTCTCGGATCAGGAACTAGCTGTAAATGACTTATTATTAAACTGAGGTCATAAGTCCATGAAACTAAAAAGAAACAAGAGCCATAATAGGACCTCTTGAAAGAAATGGTCTCTTAAAGGAGCTATGTCACCTATAACTTAGCGAAACTGGCCACCAAATTGAATGAAATATAAAAATAACTGCTTATTAAACTTTGAAAGGAGGGTAGAGCTCGCATGGACAAAATTGAAGACGATTAAATGGGATTTCCAATTGTTTTTTTTTTTTTTTTAAATTTTTTAGCTACGTAGCTTTTCAAAGTTGATCTCTGATTATAAATGATGTTTTGGGCGCTAAGAAAACACACTCAACTCTTGTGCTATGAAGCTGTTATTGTGTTGAATAGAACTAATTTTCCCGCCAGCACTTAGCAAGTAATTTGGAAAACTTACAGAATGCACTTAAAAAATTGCTCAGTTACATATTCCCTTAAAAAAACTGTTTTATTCTCGCAGGTGACACTCCATTACAGACCAATCAACATTCAATTCAAGATACTCCCAAGAAAGCAAACAAACAAAGTAATAAAGGGATCGGTCAGGGTCAGCAGAAACTTCATTCTCCTGGTCAGGTACCATTGCCTTCAGATCTTTCATTGAAGTCAGGAAAAGAAATGCCTGGTAAGCTATTCACTGTGATCAAGGTTTTTTCGGAAAGTCATTTCTCAGTTTTAACCATGGCACTTATATTTCAGTTGAACTTAAATGTAACGAATTCCGAATAAATACCAGATATAAAGAGCCATGTTCGTCCGTCGATACCACTTTTAACGGGCGATGCCCCCACCTATAACAAAGCTTTTAGTGATAATAGATGTAATATATTCTCTAGACTAAGTTTCCATGAGATAGCATAGCCTTTAACGAGAACAAACTTTTATCCCTAGTTGAATTTAGTACGTTTAAAGTTCGGAAAGGTCTAGGATTATCTCTTAAGGTGGTACAAGAAAAGACGGTTGGTTAAAATACATACTTCAATTTTTTGGAATTAAGGTGATAGTCTCTTCAGTTATAGAAACATAATGGATATAGGAGACGACCCGATACAATATACCTCCATTACAATGAACACTATTTTCCCAATAACTTAGCTCTTCGTTATATCAATTTTCCCCGAAATTAAAAAGCATCTTAAAATAAATTGAAAGGATTTGACCCGGAAAGTAACGAATTGAAACGAAATAGTTCGACTGCGCTCAGCCTTCATGAACCTGGTCCAGTTTAAGGACACGGACCCGTTATGTCCGCGAGCATAATCGACCACTTAGCGGTTTTTTGCACCTTATACGTACTATCAACTTGCTTTTAAGGAGGAAAAAGGCTTTCCAAAGTCTTTCAACCTTTCAGGATAACTTCTTCAAGTTAACTAAATGAAGGGCGTTATTTTAACCAAAAATATTGGTCATTCTTACTTAAAAGAAACTTGTTAACGCTACCATTTACTAATAGACAACCAAACAAAAAGGTCAAAATAACCCTGTTGATAGTTATTTTAACTGCTTTTAAATTAGTTATTTCAAATCAATAGAATCCAGTTATTTCAAACCAATCTAAATTGGTCAATCTGACTAAAACAAAAGGATTCTCTCAGACGCATTTTGCAACAATTTTCATTGGTTATTTTAAGTCAAATTTTACAATGTAAGTTAATTTAAAAATCGTACCTTCCATGCCAAGTCTCTGTTGACGTGTTCCCAGGCCTTTGCGGTCGGGCCATAGACATGTTCATGACGAACGGGAATCGGTCTTACAAGCATTGACCACGTGATACTATAGGCGGGAAAAAGATAATGCGGAATAACGATGTTTGTTTGAGTACTTGACAAAATTCAGTACCTTATTCATAGCTGCTTCCATAATTTTGCCGTTTTTTAACGACTTTTCCTTCTACCCTCCCTCAGAAGAGTGCACAGATAGGTTTGTGTCACAGACGTGTAAGCAATGGAAGGATGGACAGATGTGTATGGACGACCGTTACAGAAATTATCTGACTTATGGCTGTGCTTCCACATGTCGGTTTTGTAGTAAGTACAGATCTTCAGTTTTATAACATTGACGAAAGAAATATACATTACGTACTGTTTAAAAACGAGTAGGAGTGTATTATCAGGCTTAAACTCGAGGCAAAGCCGATAGCTTTTAAACCTGATAATACACGAATGCGAGTTTTTTGAACGGCTTCAAAATCTGTAATATAAATCAAATCATTCTTGCACTAATGTTTAGATTTGGGGTTATTTTGCTCTAAAAATTGAACGAAAAGTTTACCCGTGTCTTTATCAGATATAAAGACAATGATTAAACATTTATTGATCTTTATTTTTTTGTTCTTTGTTTATGAATTATTAATCAGTTTTTTGAATTGCTCTTAGCTATATCTATGAAAAAAAGTAATCATATGCTGTAAGATTTAAGTGACCTATCTTTGGTACACGACTTTCACTTTGAAAGTGTATCTTTCTCAGTTTCTATGTTCCTATGATTCAACATAGTCTAAGATGTCTGCCGTCTCCACCCACTAATTGGGAAGCACGGCGAAGAAGAGAGAGATAGTGTCTCTCCGCACTGTATCTACCCCCCCCCTACGGCCTACCCTACGCGACGGCTTAAGGGGTAGACACACGGCACGGAAAACGCACAATCGTCAATAAAGGTACCCTTCAAATCATCATATTCTCTTACTTTCTGTACAGTTCACTGTAAACTTCCTTTAGACATGAACATCCTTTTAAAGACATCAAGGGCACCCAACGACCGAGACATTGCCTTTTATGAAAGGCACTACAGAGTCTTTCTGCGGCCATACAGTATTTATTTTTCTTAAAATGTCATTTAATCTCCTCCTGGTCAGATTGCCGTGATACATATAGAGAAAGCCCATATTGTGACGCGTGGAAATCAAAAGGATTTTGTAAACAATATAAAGATCAGCTGGATACTTATTGCCCAAAAACATGTGGATTCTGTATCAGTAAGTATAACTGATATTTTTCCCCTGAAAACTCACACTCACACACACAAGCAACATTTTATGTCCCACACGCGACCTAGATGCAACAGAAAAATCAGAATGACTAACGGTAGAGCTTATTTTGTATTTCTTTATTTCCTCTTCTCTCAATCAAGATGCAAAGTACGAAGAAACCACAGTACCGCCTCAGAACACAACAGCTCCTACACCGTCCCAGAGCGCTACACCTCCAAGTTCCGATCAAGAGAAGGCAAGACCAGTTATTACGGTAGTTAAGAACGTTATTCAACGTCACCCAGTGAGCGCGAGGTTTGCGAATACTGGGAAACACCAATTCCAAAAGAGGTTTGCCGTTATTCAACAGGGAAGGAAATTCAGCGCTGTGGTCTGTCAACGCTGATACGAGGATTACCCTACCTCAACCACAGCAATATGACGACATGGGAGGTAAGGAAAACGCCTGGGGGAGGGTACTTTCTATGATGGCCTATACGGAGAGGCCTGCCCATCCTGCCGGAAAGCTTCAGGTATATGAAAGGGTGGAAGTTTCACTAGTTGAAGTATAAGAAAGGGTAGGAAAATCTGTCATTTCGGTCTCTAAAAGGTCCTAAGACGGCTAACAAAATATGCATCTTATGCTTGTGAAAAGACAAAAACCGGATCATTTTTAAGTTTTTTGAACTGCCCACCTACCTTCTTCCCTAAACCAACATTAACAATTAGTTCTTACTTAGGGCAAAATGTTGGCGTGAGGGAGGGGTAGGTGGGCAGTTTCACAGAAACGTAAAATGATCCCAAAAATCTACTTGGTATAGTAATTTATTCATATTAAAAAGACAGTGCATTTACAGCAATTACAATAGCCTACGAGCAGGCTCACCCGTTACAAATTATTACAAATTGCGACAGCTTAGTTTATTACAAATTGCGATGGACAGCTATTACAAATTGCAACAGCTTTTTATTGCAAAGTGCGACACGGGTTTATGACAAATTGCGGCAGATATTAAAAAGTGCGATGGTTTGTTTACAAATTGCGACAGTACATAGTTCCTTGAGAACGTAACGTAACTTTTTAAAAACTGTCCAAAATTCTTCCTATACCACGTGAACGTAGCCCGTCTATCTTTCTTCGTACTCTTAAATTAACTTGTTTTCTTTTCATGGCAGGCCGTGAGGCATCCCCTTGAAGATGGAACTTACTTCACTCCGGCCAAAACAAACGAGAAGTTTGAGTACTACAGAGCACTACTCCCCAGATCCCTACGTAGCGGCAGCACAGAGGGAAGAATGGATGACAGCAAACACTGGTGATGGTGTCGTTCCCCAAATCCTTCACTCAGCCGGAAGTCAAAAAGACCCGGAAGTGAAAGAAGAAAAAACCAAATATTATAGTAGTGAAGAAATTCCAAAGTCAAACGTAATAGACATAAGCATTCAAAAAGCATTGAACCAAACGAATTTACTTTGACTATCGATGAAAAAATACACCAACTCGCAAAAATGACCATTTTAGTTATGAGAAAGTGGAAAGGGAGTTTAAGATACCAGGATGGCCACGGCAGCGAAAAAGGTCAGTTTAAAAGTAACTTTTCTTTCTTTGAAACTTCAAGGCGATGATCCCAACTCGCTCACTATGTCAAATGTAGGCTAACTCTCCTGGAATTGAATTCCTAAGAAAAATATTCAAGTTAAAAGAGAAAAAGTGGAATTCGTCGTCGTTTGTTTATCGCGTCCAAGAGAGAATGAACTCATTCTGTCTTGTCGCGTCGCAGTCGTACAGCGACGGCAAAGAAATGTACCAAAAATTTGTTGTTTTGTTAATCTAATTAAAATTCTTGCTTTTTTTGCCGTTTTTGTTTCCCTTGCTTTCGTGACATCTTTGGCCCTGTACACATAAATCCACATATTGGTTAGAATAATCAAAATGAAGTTTTACCGAACGTCGTCGTGAATTCACCTTAATTGTGACTTTTCCACTATGGTTTGTTCTAGGACCTTTTTATATGGGGAAAACCTGTCTCTAGTATAAGCGTCACCCTCCGAGCCGAGTCAACTTTAGAAAGCATTTATACAGTCGAACCTCCAAGTGTGACTACCCTTCATAAGTGACCACGTGACTTTTCGCAATTTGGGTGGTTACTTGCGGGAGCGCTTGCATCTGCTCTCATTAGGGACCTAACGATCCGAAAACGGTGACGTTCATGAAAACGTCGCTGAATAATAGACCCGCATCCTTTCAAACCATTTCGCGATTATCCCAAGTCGCCCAGTTACTTAAAAACAATGAAATTTAAGTTAGAGCTAAGGAGAGGGGACAGAGATGGTATAATTCATCGCCTGGCCTTTCATTTCACGTCGTAGTTGTACAGGGACGAAGAAGAAATGTGCCAAATAGGGTGATGCACGTGCAAAGTTGTTATTTTGCTCATTGAACCTATTGACTTTTGACGTTGCCGTTTTCGTTCTCGTCGTAGTTTCATAAGGTCCCTAAATACGTCTCGCCTGGACCAAGTTGACCCAGGTGGGCAAGCTAAGGTCTTAATAGAATAATATGAAAAAAATAGCTGGCCAGGCTAGTAGGGCGGTGGCCCTATAACCAAAAAGGTGACCAGGCTAGGCGAGTCACCCTCTAGCCCAGCCAATCTTTTTTTCTCAAGTGGACAGCTCGCCATCGTCTGTAAGCGCAAATGTATAAAAGTTAGTCTGCCCAGTGTTGATCGGATAGGCGGGTGACCCATCTATCCGGAACAATTTCCATATAATCAGGGCCTAGGAACTTGGGGATAAATAGACAAAAATAGAAGAGTTGATTCCTCCGGGAGCTTTTACGCATTCATAATGGGTAGTGACTTCCTTCCCTGAGTTAAACTTCAGAGGCCACAGTTTAGTGCTTTGCGCAGCTCACGAGAGTGCTTTGCGCAGCTCACGAGACTTACTGTTTCATCAGTTTTAATAGTTTATGTCGTTTTTGTCCTTCTCAATAAATTATAAAAAAATAGAAACATACATAATTTTTAGCACAGTTGTGTATTTCAAAGTGTTAATGTTTTGACATACATCAGAAATATCATGCTATTTTGTGTAAATTTAGTCATAATGAAAATAAATTATTTTGCGCCAGCCATAAAGAGATCACCCCTGTCTTGTTTCTAGATCACTTTTTGTTGTTGGAAGGGGGGTAGGGGGGATCAAAGGAACCGCTTAACTTCACCTGGTAAGGATGTATCGTTACCTTCATAAAACTATGATCCGTGTGATCTTCGATCACTGATAAATCCTGACTTAGATCATTCCAAATAAACGTACCGACCTAGGGGAGGGTCATTGAAAAAGCTTTGTGATGATACCGCTACTGATTTCAAACATTAACAGAAGTATTACTATCGGTGAAATACACGAGTAGTACATAAAAAAT